TTAGTTCACGCACAAATTTAAAATTTGGAGTTCATTACAACTTTACATCGTCGTGTGTCATTCAGAAATGGGTGTTACCGCCGGATTTTGTGCATAGAAGGCTCAATTTATTTCTTTGGGTATTGACTTCGGGTGCCACGTAGACCCACTGAAAGCGTAAGGACTAAGTTCGGATTAATGCGTTCTGGAAAAGGTGGGATCATTTTAGAGGAAGACTCTACGGAATGAAACAATAGCGCAATTAAGCGACCTCGAGCGTCTACGTCTATAAGTGTATCCTTTTTGTTTTGACGTGTCAATGAACTCCAAAGAATGATTGAAAACCTTCTATGCCTTCATTTCTTTTCGCTCGATGTTTTCAAGATTGATTTGTATTTATTAAAACAGAGCATTTTCAGAGCTTTAAAAAGTGACCTTGAACGAGCATATTTGATGATCAAAGGCCAAAGTTCCCATTTTACTTCATGTTATTAGCGTTGTAATTTACGCACGGCCATCTTTTACCGGCGCGTGTGAAGCATGAATTCCATTACGCATTCAAGTTTTTTTCGCCAACTGTTTTCAATTTTGATTTTCATAAAATAGAAATGGCATTTTGTGAGCTATATACAGAGACCTTTGAACGAGGTGCATGCGAAGCGTGTTCGTTAGTTGTGCATTCTCGAACATTCCCATCAGCGCGTGCCAGATCACGATCGAAATTTACCAAAGTCCGATCTAAGAAATTAAATAGCTTCGAGTCTAACAGCTCTTCACATATTTTTATGACTCTGAAATTAAGCAGAAGCCTTTGAAAGCAATTGATGGGGGAATGTTCGTGCGCTCGGGTGTGCTCGCGAGCCGTTTTTGTTAACGAACTCCAAATTTTTGTTGTTTACATATTGTCTGTTGTGTTTCATTTCTGTTGATTACCTAAAACTCCATTTGACCTATTGTGTCATCCCGTGATTCACTTACAAAGAGAACTAGCATCCTTTATTGCCCAAATTATCGAGACTGTAAATGTAAAATGTAAATGCCCCGCAAAGTAGCATCTTCCATTCCAAGCTGGAAAGTCGCGTTGCTTACTGTCTAGCATCAAAAAGTTGCTAGCTGTTTTGAGTTCGCTCGTCATGGATTTCACTGTGGACGAAAATTATCGTATAAAATACCATTACGCCCGCAGTTTCTTCTTAAGTTTAAATACAGATTGATTTTGGCATGGAAGCAAAGTCACAGTGAAAGTATCAAAGATATAGTGCGAAACATTCTGCCCACTGCATCTGTGAACATTTGCTCCAGAAAAATTATACTCACTCTGCGAATTAAAAGAAAATGGATAAAGAAATACTGTTTAGACTGAAAGTCGTGACTTTATCAACTCACCGCTTCTCCGACCATCCTTTTTATTTCCATTTGGAAGATTCACGGTCATGCTCTTACTTGCACTTCCATAGTCTGCAAGAAAAATAACAGTTTGAGACTTGATTGCAACCTTAGTGAGTTAAAACCCAGTTATCGGCCCCTTTTTAATGTGTTTTAATCATACCGTTTGTTCACTTTGGTGCCCTTAATGATGCCAATCTTCTGTACCAAAATGTGTATAAAAGCCTCATATAGAATTACAATAGAAAAACAACAACACCTCCGCTTTTCCTAAAACAAGCCGGGAAACGGAATATGTGATTTGACACACTTAATTGTACTATCCTAATTAAGAAAAAGTGCTCCGAGGTTAGTTTGCCCAGTAACCTCTAACGAATCTACTAGCTGTTATGCGAAGAGTCTACATTGTCTTTTTACTAACCACTCGGCCAAGGTAATGTTTCCTATCTGTCTGCTCATTATTCCACTGCATTAAGTAATTCACCACTATACGAAGTGGCAAATGTACGCGATGGTAACAAATGGAGTTACTGATATAATTTTTAAAAGGTGAGCTATTGGTAAGGGATTATTCTGCCTTTCATCCTGGTTTATACGGACGTTATTAGAAAAAAATGGACAACGCGATTTATTTCTTTTTTAATTTGTGACAAGGTTATGCCCTTATCTTAAACAGTCATTTATGTTAAACTGGTAAATTCACTACCCGGGTGAGGAGATAAAGAGAAGCAAGCACGCAGGAAACAAAGTCCTTTTTGGAGTGGACATGCATTACCTATATACATCATATGCCCCTCTCCTCCGGACGCAAAAAGACTAGCCACGATAAAAATCTAGCTTAAGTTGAGAGTTTAACCCTGAGAATCGAGTAGTATCATCGCAGTCTGATGATTTCTTTTGTTCAAAATTAAAATTGACTGAGCTCCACCGGACATGTAAACTTTCTGATTGTGATACCCGCCATGGTACAACATTGTCTTTTGCCATCCTTATTCACTATGTATTGATTATTGCCTTACACCATGGTTTACCACAATCGCTTTAATCAAGACATATTTCTCGTTTCCCGTTGTTGATGGCCGTTCCGTCTAATTAGCCACGTCATTTTACGATATCAAACTTCAGAGCGGAATCAAAAGCCCTCAGCACCATATTCTTTAAAGCAAAACAGGAAAAAACAAAGCAAAAACAAAATAATGAAAATTATTTCCGCAAAACTTGATATAGCGTTGAGAATCTGAAAACCTTCGTGCAAAAGATAGAGGGTGGAGCAGGGGAGACCCTACATGACAATGTAAGAGAACAGAGAACACAAATTGAGTTGACAAAACATCCAGTCTCCAGACCTTGGCTAAATTGTATTGCGTGGGATTCTTTTTACTGTGTGGGATTCTTTTTGAATAATTTCCTTACTATGCATTGATAGAACTCGCGTGCAGATACTCTCGACACTCAACACCTAGAGAATTCCAAAGAGTTCCTGTGCCATCAAACAAAGCAATGCTAGGATATTTTGAGAATTTGTGGAAGGATATGCGCCTAGTGAAAATTGAGCACTATCTTTTTTCCTCGCCGCTGCAAAAATAATAATAATAAAAAAGAATGGGACTTCATTTTAACACTTAACTTTATTTTATATGAGAAGTTTTTCGATCTATTAGTCTTATTACAAAGCTTTGTCATTCTCATCGTAAATATTTTGCTACATGCTCAGGTCTTCTTGTACGTTTTCGTCCAGCTTTCCGCATCCAAGATCTCTCGCCATTTGACAAACTGAAGATGTCACTCGTCGGAGCCGTAAATATACTTAAAAATAAATGGTTGAAATTTAGAAATATCAACTATGAGAAGAGTGTTTCAATTCAGTATAGTTTTGCTTTGTAGTTCACGCTCAAATCTAAAATTTGGAGAAATACGTCTTCATAATGTCAAAGCACTCTTTATTAGTGCAGTTTCTCCTTGACTGAGCTTAAAAAGACAAATTGCTGTATTTGTTTATTTGTTTTTATTTTTTTAGCATAAAAACTATTTCGAAGTGAAAGTAGCGTGAGGTAAAGAAGTATCGAACATACAGTACGGGGCATTTTGTTCCCTGCATTCTTGAAAGTTTGCTAAAGTAAAGTCAAACACACTCTGCAGACATTTTTTTCCTTCCCTTGCCAAAATTATAGAGAAGAAAGACTAGTAAATGATTTACACAGAAAGTGTTATATATCAACTTACCGCTTCTCCGGCCATTGTTCCCAGATGGAAGATTTATGCCAAAGCTCTCACTTTCGTTGACACAATCTGCGATAAAAAGAAGAACGGCAAGAAAAATAACAGTCTGAGACTTCATTGTTTTGCTGATTGCAGGCCTAGTGAGTTGATAACTCAGTCATCGACTCCTTTATATTGCGTTCTGATCTCACTCTACGTTCATTTTAATCCTCCTAATGACGCCAATCGTCTGGACCAAGATGCTCATAAATGCCTCATATAAAATTACCAAAAACACCTCCGCTTTACACAGAACAAAATGGAACTTGGAATATTTGCTTCTCCACAATTAATTATTCTGTCTTAGTTAAGAAAGGGAAGGAGCAAAAAATAGTTACTCCAAATTTGGTTTCTGCCCAGTCACAACTTGCTTAGCTACCGTCATGTGAAGAATCCGCGTTGTCTTTGTTTCAACCATTCTGGGCAGGTTATGTTTCCTAATGTTCATTCCATTAAATAATTCAGAATACACTAAAACACGAAGTTTGGAAAATCTAAACGATGTTGACAAATTAAACTGCTAATACAACTCAGGAAAGAGTACTCTTGGTCACGGCATGTTTTAGTTTTTCACTTTAAGTTATACTGACTTAATATAGAAAACAAAATTGGACAGTGGTGACCGTTAGCAAATACAATGGGCAGCTCAGTCAGCGAAAGAGGAGTTAGTAAGCAACAAACACAGGACTTTTATGTGTTGGATAAGCATGACATATGCCTGAAAACAATATATTTCATCGAGAATGCACTATGGATCTAAATATAACCAACATCTCTTCACACCTGTGCCGTATAGTTTGCGTTATCAGTATGCATTTATTTGTCGCCAAAAGGTTATTTGTGTATATATGTTTGTTTACATCCAGACTTTAAATAGAGCTCGAGGTTTGTTCCAAATTTGAAGGTAACTTAAGGGAGAGATCAAGTTTCCTTTAAGACTCCGAAAAAGTTTAAATCAGCACCAAAAGAGGAAAGTTGTTACGTTGAATAACATATGTTCAGGAAATGCTTTTGTCTTTGACTCAGCACGGTCTATATGAAAAGAATTGTCGCGACTTACTCTGCGCAATTGTATTTGGTTTCAACAATGACTTCAAACGGGTGAAATCAAGTGAATTACAGCAGGAAAATTGGAAAATAATTTTTCAAGAGTGGTGATAGCAAGAAAAGAAAAAGAATTCAAGAGAATTCCGTCCAAATTTAATTCACCCGAAAAAAAACTTCATTTATTATTTAAAAGTCTTAGGAACTGATATAAAATATTCATGTGAAGATCAATACCGAAATAAATAGTCATGAAATACGAATCAGTTACGAGTGCCTTTCCCATTTGGAACATAACAACACTCACTTACTTTTTCTGTTATCAAGCGATTTAAGGTCGGTTATACTATGGTACCGTTTCATTTGAAGACATGGATAGCGGTACAAATAATATCAGTTAGCCTAGCAAGTATTGATGATAAAATACGGAGTCTTACATCCACAGTGACACGAGAAAACTTTAGGCTGGAGGGGCATTTAATCGAAAGTGTTATTGTAGACAGTCAAATAACATGCAGCCATTATTGCGTGAAGAATACTCGTTGCCTCTCAATCAACTACAAAAAGTTCCAAACAGACCTTAAAGGACGCTGCGAGTTAAACTTTGCTGGTTTATCAAATGATCTCGACAACAAGTATCTGATACCAACAAAAGAATTCGTCTTCTCACAAATACGATGTCGCAAGGTAAGAATTTATTTCATAGTTTTATCTACCAAAGACGAAGAGTCTGCAACTTTTGATATCGAATAGAGAAAATTTTTCCTCGCTTTAACACCCGAATCAATTATTTATTTAAGAAGAAGTTGTGTATTTTGTCTTTGTCACTCTACTGTTGATATGCCTTGAAGCAAAAAAGAGATGTGAAAACAAAAGAACGCAAAATCCTATATTCAATTTGTGTAATGTTGAATACATTGAATATAAATATCAAGGTGATTAAGAAAACCTCAAGAACAAAGATGGAATAATCACATTATGATCTTCAGGCTAACTTATAATGTTTAATAAATTTCCCGCGAAGACTGATATTCTAGGGGCGCTGAGAACTTTGGATCTAGAATGGAAAATTGTGGAGTGTATAAAAAAAACTTGGTTCCCATTTGTTTGAACTTTCTATATCTAATTCTCGCCAATTTATATGGCATCTAAAGAAGTTCTTGAGTCCACTGAAACATGATTTTAATCTCGCTACTTAATAGGAGGATGAAACGAGGTGCCCTAACATGGATAGAATTTCGTCAGGTAAGCATGCCCTACCACTGTCTCTAGAATATCAATTGAGAAGAATAAATAAATAAATAAATACATTTACTATGAATATTTCTTCGCTACCATTTCGTACGCCTCTAATTTTATCACTATTACCACTTGGTTTTTGTTAGCTTACTGTTATTAGTGAAAATGATTTCCTCAAGCCCTCTGAATTGATCTATATTTTGTAATTCATGGTGCGTAAATATAAAGCTTAGTTTAGTCACTGAGGCTACTCGTTTAACTAGGGGCATCTACGCTGTTACAAAGCTGTACATGCAGCTCTTTCTGCCTTTGTATTTTGTATTCATACTTCTGTATTTCAACCTAAACATAGAGTTCCTCTTCGTTAGTATTTCCTCTTTCGATCTCGGCATTATTATCATTATTATTACTTTGATTATTATTATTACTATTATTACTATTATTATTATTAGTGATATCAGAGCCAAGTTCTCTTAAGTATCACATATTTAGTTCGTTGCTATCTCATAACCTCTGAGTCTTTGCTTTGCTCTTGAGCATATGTTGATTTCGTAGTCCAATGAGCCCACTAGCTTAGAGGAGAACTGTGTCATATTCTCACCTTTTCTTTCCTTTCTCACTTAAAGATTTCTCACTTGAGTTTCCTGTTCGAAACGGCAATGGCGTGGTCTATAACAAGAATATGGATAGGGTGCTTACTAAATTTACCCTCTGTCTTTGGATGAAAACGCAAAGTCAAGGAACTGTATTCAGTTATGCATGGCAAAACAGAATGAACGAAATTATCATAATGAACAGTCCCGAGCTGCAGCTATATGTTGGAGGTCAACATACACCGTAAGTACGAAAAAGGTTAATCTTTGCATGCATTGCACATATTACGACTACTTTGTCAGGTCATGACTATTTTTTTTTCTCTTTCTCTCTCTCTCTTAAGATCGAAAGCCGGAGACTTATATAACGTTTTCTCTCTTTTTTTCTCTCTTGTTTTGTATACATTGTTTTTCTCTTTTTGGTACTGCAAAAAAAAAAAAACCCAAACAAACAAAAAAGCCGTAAAAAAGAATGCTAAAAGCTATATCTGGTCATTTTAGCTGCTACGAAGCAGCACGATATAGTTATCCCTACTAGGTCTAAGGTTCGTTCCTGTTCCTCTCGTGCGTTATATTTTAAAACTTTGTAACGAAACTTGAATCAATTAAAAGCCAAACTTAACATCTTTATATTCAGAAATATTTTGATGAAATAGACACCTTAGAATCATATAAAGCTGATAACACCGGGTGGACACAAAAAAGGATATGCTTTACACTTTTATTTTCTTTTTTCCGTTTTGTATGCTTTATTTGTTTCATATTGATCTATAAATGTATTGATTTATCTTTTCAGAAGAGCAGTCATATCCGTCCGTGATGGTGAGTGGCACCATGTATGTGCCACCTGGCGGAATACCGATGGCCAAAACAAGATCTTTATCGACGGGAAACTAGAAGAAAATGGTACTGGACTTCAGGCTGGTCATATAATAGAAAAGGGAGGGGTCGTTGTATTGGGTCAAGAGCAAGATTCTCTCGGTGGTGGCTTCCAGGACAACCAAGCCTTAGTTGGTAAAATTGCAAATTTGAACCTGTGGGATACCATTCTTCCTCTCAAAGAGATCGTAGAAATGTCGAAAAATTGCTTCTCAAGAAAGGGTAATGTTTTAAGTTGGGAGCAATTCAGGAGCGACATTCGAGGCACAGTTAAGGTTCATGAGCCTTCTTTGTGTAGAGCCCCATAAAGTTTGAACCACACTTACATACATGAATCTTCTTCTTTAAATTAAATTTGGACAAAATAAAAGAGAGATGACGAGAAAACTACATATATACAGCTAAACAAATCCAAACGAAATAGAGAGAGAGAACTTCTCGTCCTTAAAGGAGACTGTCTGGGGTCAAGCAATGAAAGTAGCTCGCATGTCATCCCATTTCAGACGACAATAGTGTTGTGAATTAGTGAGATAAAAACTTATGATTATCGAATTCGAAGCTACTGATAGCTGAGCCATGGATAGATATCGTGGTCTTGCTAATGCTGTTGTCTTTAACGATCTCAAAAAGGCATTTGCAAAGTAGATCTCGACATTTTGTTAAGACAATTGAATACCACGAGATTCGTTGATCCAGCCACTGATTGTTTGGTCCTTGTTGAGATAATCTAACTCAGATTTGTCACATTACCCCTTGTAAGAATTGTCTAAGATGTGGTGTTCCCCAGGGAAAAATTTTGGGACGTCTTGTGTTTTTGATATATGTCAATGACTTGCCACATCGTCTGACATATTCGGAACCCAGAATGAAAGCGGATGATACTAGCCTGACGCTTGTAGCACTGACATGATCACCTTATTTGAGACCTGCGCAATGTGTATCAGCTAACAAGCTAACCCTAAATGTGAAAAAAACTGAGTTTATGCTTATTGCATCAAGGCAGTGGTTATCAAAATTTACGGAGACCACTTCGTACTTAAAACGAAAACGCAGTAGAACAAGTAGCCTCCACTAAATCTCTTGGAGTTTCAATCAACCAAAATTGAAACTGGGAATACCTTAATGAAAATATACCCCATAAGATAGCTGGTGAAATAAAACGAATTCGGCATTTTACTCTATTTAATATTCTAATTCAAGTTTATAGTAGCCTCATTTGGCCGCATTTTGATTATTGCAATGATTTGTGGTGAAACTGTAACAAAGGCCTTTACGGAAAACTCTGTGGGCTTCAAAATCGCCTAGCTCGCTCCCTAATGTCTGCGAGCTATGGTAGTAATTTGGCTGATTTGTTCCGCGCACTATGGTGGCGGATACGTATCAAAAGGCTTATCAAAGACCAGAACAGAAATCTATCTTGATGCACCGGTGGCGGCTTTTTGTCGCTT